TAAAGGGAACACGCGAGGCCGCGAGCGGGGAAAAGCGAAGCTGAGAGAGGAATTTATTATGTCCTCGGGCAAACTGCCCCCTCGGTACAATATGTTACAAGTACGGGAAATGAAAAAAGGAAGGAAGGAAAGAAGGAAGAGCGTGCTCGCTCTCGGGTAATTAGATAAACCTGGTGGCGAACGAGCGTACCAGCGTTAACGTCCCTGGCGCACCCCATCGCGGAACGCGGTACGAGAGATATTACTCGTTTCCAAGGCGCGGGATGGTCCGCGCTGCGATGCACGAAAATTTAATTAACTCGGTCAATTTTTTAGTTAATTAACCGTGAGTCACATTTCGTTTCCCTCTCCCGTTAACGCGCATTCCTCGAGATGCTCGTCAACGACAGAAAAGCTGAACCGATGGGACAGGTTAGCGTAATCGATGACAACGTTGTCTAGAGTTTCAAGGTGGCGCTTATCTAGCTAAACGCGGTAATCGCGACGAACAAGTTCGCCTTTTTTTTCTTATCTCGAATCTGAATGATTTTTCATCGAGCCAGTCGCGTTCATGGCTAATTTCCCGCCGTCTTCGAACGAATTGTACAGGACTCGGTTAATCGGCTCGTTTCTCGATCGAGAACAAGTCTTAACGCTCGAGGGACAGGTTAGTTTTCTTTCAGATATATTTTAAACCTCTCCCCATGAATATATCTACCATTAGCTTCATAACGCGTCTTGCCGGTTAACGAGTAGAAAATTTCGCGCAACGGTTTCGCACACCTGCCGTACAGTTCACCGCGCCCTCGAACGAGGTAAAATTATTATCGTATGCTCGCGCATTAATTCGAGGACGAACGAGCGCAAGCGGTGAAACCCCGGTGTTACATCGTTGCGTGCGTTGTAGCTACTCAAATTTGACCGGTGTACACGAGACTTTTCACGGTTCTTGGAAAATTTCCGGACGAACGACGATGCGCGCTAGAACGTTTCCTCCGCGTTCGTTCTGAATGCAGTCGGAGGGAGGAGGATCGAACCGACAGTGCAGAAATCTATCAAATTCTCGATGCGACATCCAGGTGAAACCAGTTTGGTCGGTTCGAATGACCGGGTTGGTTGGAACCGAGAAGCTGGACCACCGAGAGGCAGAGCGGCACGAGGGGATTCCACCGGAGGGAGAAAAAGAAAGGAGCTGAGCGAGGGCTTCGAATAGGCAGAAGGTACTGACCTACCGTCCACTCGACTCGATTCGATTCGATTCGATTCGATTCGATTCGATTCGATTCTACAGCTGGACGCGGTAGTTTCGATATGCTCCCTTGTAATTTCCTGCGGCGAGCACGCGTTTCGTTCCTTTCAGATAATTATTAGAAATCCGTTCTGACGGAGGGACGTTGACAGGTTGCGACGTTGCGCCAAAATTTCTCCCGGCTCGATCTTCTGGAGCAGTTTCAGGATCAGGAGCATACGCGTGTACGCGCGCGGAAACGGGTTTGAGATCATTGAGAACGGCTTGGTCGACGTCCGACAAAAACTAGGAGCTCGCGCGCCCGGTTGCTCGTTGGCCGTGATGAGAAGGCGACCGATGGAAATAAAGGAGAGAAAAGGGTTCGAGTAAACGATCGGTTCGGGATGAATTTTCTTCCCCTTATTTCCTGTTAGATTTGGATCGAAGGACGAAACGCGTTGTCGAGCGGCGCGATTCGTTTTGAGAATTGAGAAAAAGGAAAGGAAGGAGGACAGCGGAGCGGTGCGGCGCGGTGTGGAGGTAGGGGAAACAGCGGCAGCTTCGTCCCTGTCGTGAGAACACGACGACGTCCGTTAATGGCGGCATTATAAACCGTTCCTCGCGTGCATCGGTAAAGAGGTTGAATGCAACGGGGCAGGGGCAGAGGGAAGGATGCACAGAGAGGGGAGGCGGGTGCCCGATCAGCGGAGATGCATGCGAAAAAAGGTGAAATTACGTAAACATCTTGCAAACGACGATTACCACACACTGGGACTAGCTTGGCGTTCACCTCTGTAAAGAACAGCCTGAAAGAAACTGCTGCGGCCCAAGTGCATCGCGCGCGCATACATGCATCCACCGCACAAGATCCCGTTCTCGTTTTGCTTCCGTCGAATCGACGACGACAACCACCACGACCACGACCACGACCACGACCACGACCGGAGTGTTCAACCTGTACCTACTTTGAGGAATCCGTGTTCAGGATCCTTGCTGATCGATCGTTCCTCGAACGAGTAGCTCTCGAGACGGTCGCAACGACGATGGATCGAGTATCACGGAAATTGGACCAATTGTTGCGAAAACGTTGGCGACACAGGCGTATACAGGCAAATGCGCGTATACACGTACATACCGGGATCGGGTACAGTAGTTTGCATGCGATAAATATTAATGCAGCGTGCTCGGTCGCGCAAATATTTGTGATCGACGAGCGCGCTCGGACGACGATAATTGGTCTAATGAATGCGCGACGATCGATTCGTGTTTCACCGCGAAATTTCATACGAAGGAAACGTTATCGCGGCGGCGGTGGCGGCCGCGGCGGCGGTGATGACAGTGACGGTAGAATTGACGGAAGGACGAACGCGTCGCGAGGAGGTTTTTTGTCATTCGTCGGGAACCTTGTGGACGAGACACGCATATTTATTGGCACGGAAGCGATCGCCGATCGAAGATCGACGGTAAAAAGCGTGTCGCGAAGCGGTTGTTTACCAGTTAAAAGATTTCAAAGTAACCATTTTGAATCGACCATTTTCTCCGTTGCGGCGCAAGTTTCGTGCGTATGGTGGCGCGTATTTTGGGAGGACCATCGGGTCCGTAGGATCCTCGGGAAAGGGGAACCGGTGCCGTCCACTGGCGAGTTCCGATTGGCCGCCTAAATCCACGGCCATGTTTAGCCGCCCGGGCCCCTCCTGTTTAGAAGGGCCTGACGTCAGCTACTCCAACTATTCGAAGGCCACGCGTCGCGAAGCGCCGCGCCAACACGTATGCGCGCCTCATAGATCGATTTTTCCCGGGCAAAAACGTCGCTCGATCCGTGTCATTTCTGTCCCGACGAAAAAAACTTATTGCGTACCTACTGTAAGTACCTATGCTGTGCCGTTGCAAAAACTTAGCCGACGTTTTTACCGCGTTACCGTTTCGCGCGACTTCGTTAAAGAAACGACAACGATTTCGACGCTTTCTTCTTTCGTGTTTCGTAGCCTCTAATTATTAACTGATAAATATTCGGTGATTTGTCCATCCGTCTACCTCCTAGCTAAAGTTTCGCAAATACCCAACGTTAGCAACCTGCAAACCTACTTTCGCCGTTTGTTAAGCATTTCAGCTTGGTCATTTACGCTCCTCGAGCGACCTTCGACACCGCGGAAATCCGCCTAATCGTTGCGGCTCGTGTTTGCTTGCGATCAATCAGCGACAGATATTAAATCCGGCTACGGCTGCGCGTTACCTTCTAATCGCCTATCTAATCGAGTCCGCGATATCGAAAGAGCCGCTGAAAACCGTGCAAAACTATCATTCGAAGAAGGCGTTTGAAAAGAAAAACGATGTCGATATCGGGCAACCTAGTTTTTTCTTTCATTTTTTTCTTCGTTTCTCCGTTTTTTATACCTGGTCGCATTCCCCGTCAGACCAGGCGTATACTCTTTCTCTACGACGGACGATGAAATAATCGATCGGCAATTATCGATCGCGAGAAATCGAACGCGGGAATTCGAACTTTGACCGTAATATATGCAGAGAGCAATTATTCCGAGTGGTGACTCGAGCTCGCTGGTGGCTAAGGAATTGTGCAGCTTACTTTCAAACGTGGCCGGTGGCTTCAAGGTTCTTAAAACCATTGGTAATGCATTCCAATCGGTTGCTCGAAAGATAGAGAGAGGTTCGGAGAGACGGATTTAGCATTAGAATCTACAAGGACAGCGTTCGAGCGCGCGCGGATAGTTGCTCGCCGCGCTGAATCCGCGCTGAGAAACGACGCACCGTCCACTGAAATACCTTAGTCTCGAGACAAATAAGATTTTATAAAAAGATACCGCACGTCTTCGCTTAGAAGCACACCTATGCCTCTCGTCTATGTACGAGGTACGATCGGTCGTCGTAGTTGAAATTCAACGCTCGCCTTCCTTTTATACCATGAATAATTCCTACCGGCGGAAATTAATTTCGTAGTTTCTTTTCTTTGTTATTTTTTCCGGTTTCCTCTTCTTTGCCTTCAACGATTTAACGTTTCACGTATTACCAGGGCGACCCGATGCAAATTTTCCGCAAAATCAAACGTTATTATTTAGCCACGACCAGTCGAATTACAATTTGAGATCAACAACGCGTCGAAACGAATCAACGGAATAATTCAACGAGCGCGGACATTGTTTCGAGCGCGTAAGTCGACCATTTTCCGCGGTTTCGTTCGACCGAGCTAATTATTCCGGTTTCGCGGATACCAAGTGATAACCACCTCTCCTCGTAACTCGTAAATCGTTATCTTAAAATTTTATTAAACGTCTTTTCGTGACTCGTCAATTTCTTTCAACGATATCGTTATTGTTACACCAAATTTCTTTCCATTTTTCTTGTAAAAAAACGAATTCCTCTCCCCGAAAACGAATGGTCATGCTTGACCAAAAGCTCGTAACAATTACAATGCTTGTTTAGCATGTTTCACGGTGTGTTTTAACCATGATACACCGTAAACAGTCGTTAAATCGAACGCACGACAGGTGCAAAGGCCAACCGGCGTCCATATCCAGTTTCTAATCTACGACGATCCACAACGATCCACGACATTCGCGACGATCGTATTCGAGGCACGTAGGACGAGCTCGCCTAATTCGTGCCACGAAACGATTCGCGACGATCGCGATTACCGATTCATTATCCGCAGCAACCGGTATTGTCTACTTTGCACGTAATAGCGGACCTTTGTTCGTACTAGTTATTACGAAATCGTAACCAACCATCGACGACGCAAGTTCGAAACAAAAAGGTGCTACGATTGTTGTTCACTCACCGAACGATGTCCGCTTCGTCGGACAGGATTGCCTTCTTCACCGTTTTCTTCTTCTCCTTCCTCTTTTCATCCGATCACCGAGTTATCGTGGATCTGAAATAAAAGAAAGATACTTTCTCGTTATCGTTGCTACGTTTATTCCTCTTTTCATTCTAACGACAGAAGCAGAAGAAGGGATGAAGTAGAACGCGATTCAACATCGAGCACGAGAACGTCAGTCCGCTTGGAAGACGAGACGATTCGCGTAGTTGCGGTTTTCGGTCATTTTTATCGGTTTATCTCCGAGCATCGGTGATCGATGATCGCGATCTATCTTGTCGCGCTCTTCGTATATCGAAGAAGCGGGACTCGCGTCGTTCGACTACGGACGATCGAATTCGTCTTACCAGACGATGCGGAGAGAAAGAAAAACAAAGTATATCGGGCAATGGGCTAGAGAACGCGACACCGCTTTCGATTCGCGGAAAAAGAAACTCGTCTCATGGAAACGATCGTGGCTCGATCTTGAAAACAGACCAGAATCTTGCGCGTTCCTGTGAAAACGTCTGTTTGTTATAAATAGATATACCGTTAAGTCCGGTTATGCAACGACACCGAACTGTGCGAGAAAAATTGTACGAAAACGGAGGAATCGGCAGAAGGAAAAACGAAAAAAAGTCAAAGTCCAAAAGAGAGAAGGTGAAGCGAGGGAGGGTAGGTGAGAAGGGTTCGCGTTTGCATGGGCTGTGGATTGGTCGCACGCATCGAGCGTCGATTCTCGAGAATCGATCGTGATTGGTTTCTGGCAGTGGACAGCGATCGAGCGGCCAGGAGTAGTGCGGGAAGCGCAAGTCGGTTTCTAAACCGGTCGTCGTAAAAACCTGGCCTGGCCTTCGGGGCGGCCATTTTAGAACGTTCTAACATTTGACGGTCGCGAAGGCCTTGCCGGGCCGCCTAATAAGCGGCCGTTAATCTATTATTCATTACGAACGAACGAGAAAGATACCTCGAGCGACATGCAAATCGAGCCCCGCGTACACGTTAACTGCGACTCGCATCGCGTCCAACACGCAACAGCCTTCGAGCCGCTTCGGAAAATCGGCCTGGGCAACAACTCGCCCCGAGATAGAATTCGGATCTTTCGATAGCCCGATCGACGATCGGCCGGCTGAAAGCGATCTTCCTTAAACGAACACACCGATGCAAAGTGTGCGAATCTAACAGCTTTCCGACGCTCTTAAACGCCATGGAATCTCCGTCAATTTGTCGCATCTAACGACTTCCAAGAACATCCCTGTCCACGGAACATCTAGCACGGTTCGAAGCGAACGGAAACAGAAGGTTGATTCGCAATTACGTATACGGATACGCGTTTACGCGCTCTTATCTCGACGATATCCTTTAACGAGCAAAAAGCGAGTTTAATGCCCGGCGATCATCGCGAAAATCCGTCGCCGGTAAAATTGCCGGTAAAGGATGAGAAAAAGAGAGGGAAGAACTCCAGTCCGTCCGCGATTGTATTCCCATCGAATGGATGCGACGACGAAAAAGCTTAGCACGGTTAATTAGTGTTGTTCGGCCCGTAAGAGGGAAGAAATTAATTTACGCCGATGTTAGTGTAGCGTATTCGCAGGGTATAGAGAAGATAATGATAGACGAATAGCAACGTTTTAAGCTAATGGGCATCTTCGATGGTGGTTCGTTTCGACGTACAAGTGATTTGCAACAGTCGGATAATAATATATAGAAAACCGGTCTTGTTTTCGATTACGTCGCACCGATATCGGGCGCCAAGGATTCGAACGATCGATAACTACACACGGGCGGAAGGGACGGATCAGAAGACGAAGCAGAAGCAGAAGCAGAAGAAGAAGAAGAGGACGACGAAGGATGTACCTACATAGCTAGGTGGGAAGGTAGAAAGGGAGAAGCGGAGAAAGAGAGAGGATCCATCGTGAAAAACGATCGACAGAAGGGGAAACCTTAGGGCCCGGTTTTTACTTCGACCAACCGGTCCATGGTTGGAACGGTTTTCGCGGAATCGCGATAAACTGCACCGACTGAAATATCTGATTTAATTGCAGCGCGATTGCGAGAGGGGACAAAAATCACCGCGCTTAATCGTATTCCTTTGGTCCTCTGAAGTAGCGAAAACGAGGCTGGTCAATAAGTAAGATGTAGAAGGGAAGAAAATAGGAGAAGGAGAAAGACGAGAATCACCCGGTGAATTCGTTTGTTCGACAGTGAGGCAATATATAGCGGGAAATCCGTGGAATCGTCGCGAACGTGGGAGAAAAGCTTTTCCTTCGAAGCGTATTTCTCGGACGTAAAGCAATCCTGACGAAAAGGAATCGTCGTCTCGGTTCGCGTAACGGTACGTGCGAATCGCATGCATCGCTACACGGATCTATAATAAACGGACGCGATCCCGGCCGATTCGAATCCTCGGGGAGGAATCCGAGAGGAGGACGTCGTTGCAGGGAACCCGTTAAAATTTCATGACCAGTTCGCGCCTGAGAGTCGTAAAAAAAAAATTGAATCCATCGATCTTGCAGCTATCGCGCCTTCACCTTCGTACTTTCTTCCGCTACGATACACCTACGACGCTTCATCGAAACGAACGAATCCATCTCTACTTGGACCAACGATGGATTTCGTCACGGCTTAACGTTCAAATTTTCACGATCCAACTCCATACCCTCGATAACACGTTTTTCTTTCACCGCAAAACCCAATGCGTTCGATATTTACGGCCGCCATCGAAACGGTAATCTAACTTTCTATGCTTTCTCCATTCTTATTACGTGTTCATCCTCGATATTTCTTGAAATACTTGTTACCGATACACGTTCCTTTAATTAACACGCTGAACGTTGGCGAAACAACGGTATCCATTACGGTAGCTCCTAGTAAGAGTTATTAAGCACACGAACGTGTAATTCAATAAACTTATACTAATCATGTAATATTAATGACATTTGTGATTTTAATTTCCTTTCCTTTAGAGCTGTAAATTCTTCAAATTATTATTATGTATTTACGGTTGGTGGACGGTTGAGCATCTGGAAAAATTAAAGGTAGAAATTACGGCAGTCTCGGGGCTGGTACCGTGGTCAAAGCAAGCAAGCTCCTGACAGGAAGTGGACGAGGCGCGACAAGCGATCCGAAACAAAGAGCAGAGGGCCAGGAGTAAGTACGCGAGTTGCATCGAGAGGAAGAGAGAGGGAAAAAGTTGCAGGAACGGCGCTGCATGTACCGATACGACACCACTACTATCATACTATACTCCTCGTCGTCGTTGTCTTCGTCGTCGTCGTCGTCGTAGTCCAGAGGTACGAACGAGCCAGTCAGTTGCAGTATTTGGGACAAGGTCAGAAGGTTCTGCGCTCCCCGGCTTCCAAGACACCGAGAACCGCCGCTCTGCGCGCACTGCACTTTCACTTTGCCTCTACTGCCGCGTGCATTGGCAAATTGCAACTTCGCGGACGATACTCTCCGGCTCTTTCGTACGCGATGCCCGGTTCACACTTCGAATTTGTAATGTTTGTCTTCTTCAAGAACGAACGATATAATTCATCTAATTGCGTAATTGTAAACGACCTAATGGAATAAAAGACTGAGCGATCGAATCGATGGAATTATTCTTTTATCACCAACCGTCCGCAAAATTCTTTTCCTCGCGTTTCTTTATGGAAAAAAGAATCGTGATCTTGATCGCATGGAAGAAAAAGGCGAGGCCCAGTTTCCTCGAGGACTGAAAGAAACGAGGCGTTTGCGCGAGACAGGCGACGAGAGAGTAACAAAAGTTTTGTCCGCGATTTGTAAACGGGGCCGGTTCGTGGTTATTTGTAAACGGCGTTGTGGATAACGTAAGCGGTGGCACGCATTCGCATGCAAATTGCACGCGATACAACAACACCGCAAAGGCCGGACAACGACACTTGGACGAAACGTCTCTCATCGAACCTTTTACATCGAAAATTCATACGTGTTAAAAAGAAAGAAAAGAAGAAAATATCAATGAACCGCGGCTATTCTGTCGGAAATTATCGGCCGATAAAACGCTGGTTTTGGAGTACAAAGACTTGGTGCATCGTCGTCGAAAATTTTATCACTGCAACGCTGCTCCGATAAAAAGTAAAAAACAAAATTGAAAGAGTCAGATCAAAAGTCTCCTTTTGGTAGCAAAAGGTAAATAACGAAAGGTGTTAATAGAATAATGTGCGTCGCGATAACCGAACGTTGATCGAAGGTCGAGTTAACTCGTCCTGGCCGGTTCGCGAGTTAAAACGCGTCGCCACCGTGTACGGACGGCTATAATCGCCGTGGACACGCGTTCAGCCACGATTGTCGGGGAAAGAAACGCGGCTGCGAGGAATACACAATGCATTTTTACGCGATACAGCATCGTTTGGTTACTGCATCGCTTTCGTAATATAGCTAGCGTTCATTTGCAACTTAACGGCTGGTTACTGACTACAGCATGCATACGCGTGTCTCCTGCGTTCGATTCAATCTGTCCGCTTTCGGTTATCAAAGATCAAATTTGTCAAAGACCCAACCCATTGAAGCTGCATCGTTGACACGGTTTCGCGCTCGCAATCGTTTCGTCCGTTTAACATAAAGCAGGTTTCGATGTCGATTAACGACGACATCAGTCTCAGGCGATAGGAAATATTCTTCGTTAAGGTTTCATGATTAAATTCGGAAGTATCGCTTTCGTGAAAGACTGTCTAAGCGATAGAAAGGAAAAAAAAGAAAAATTGAAAGTTCGTAACTGATAAACGAGATAGCTTGATTGGGCCTCCGCGAAAAGGAGAGGAGTTTGGTGCACTAAATGCAAGGGCGAATAAGAGACAGGAGGACGAAAGAGAAAGAGGAGGGTTTCGCTGTCCAGCAACGGCTGACACAATGGCCATTGAAAACAGAAAATAAGCGGCATTGTTCGACGCTTTTCAGAATCGATATTTGCGAATACAACATCGACGCGTGTCGCGAGCGAGCGAGCGAGCAAGCGCGCGGCTCGGTGATTTAAAGCAAAGATTAAAAATAAAGGGGACACGCGCGTCGAGTTTCCGTCGATGCCCGGCGTCGAACAGCTAGCCAGCTAGCGGAGTCGCCTTTGTTGAAACGGCTCCGAAACTAACCGGCCGCTATTTTCCGCGATAGCCGAGTGAACCAAGAACAATCGTGCTTGTCGATCGTTGCGTTATATCGAACGCACGCGAACCAGCCTCGCTCGCTTGCGTCTCTTCCTTCCGCTTGTCCTGCGCTTCTACTCTCGTTTAAGCCGACCTCGATTTCGATCCGAAAATCGTCGCGGTCTCGAAACAAACCGCTCGACTCCGATACTTGTAAAACCTCGAGGCAACGCGATGCACCGCGTAGACAAAGTAACTACCTATAACGCGAAACAATGGATGTTGTTTCTGGCGCGCAATGGCACGCCGCTCGGACCTTGATAGCGAATTTCAAATCTTATCCGAATGATAATCGACGGATCAAAATGATGCTAGAATGGCGGTTGAAATACAGACAGGAGGCAATTCATTCTACGTCTACTAGTGTACGTATTCGGATGGATAGTTGAACAAGTAGATACTCGCGAGAAAGTAGGTATCGCGGATGACCCCTGTGGTAGCGAGTGCGGTAAGTCCCGCCACGCCAAGATCGCGATCTCGATTCTCGATTTCCGAATTACGGATAAATCCTCCCCACGGTTCATTTATTCGATTGTCTTTAACTTCTCGCCGCGTTGATAGAAGCGATGACGCGATGAGTAATTAACGCGCGACGCCACTTTCACCGAAGGATTTATCCGAGAAACTTGCTCGTCGAAGGTTTCCACGGCGAATTAGGAGATGCTCGATCGCGTTCCACGGCGTTACAGTGGAGCTTTCAAAGATCTACCGCGAGAGAAGAAACGAGATCACGAGAAACATTCGGGAGAGAGAGAAAAAGACAGGGACACCGTTTGGTCGCGGAGTTAGCACAGAGCGATTCAGCAGCTTGATCGATCGTGCCGATCGTCGTCCTTGAAGTGGTCGACGTCTCTCTCGGCATACACGGAGCCGGAGGAACGAATGAAAGAAAGGAGGAAGAAGAAGAGGAGTAAGAAAGAAGGAGCAAGAAGTAAGAAGCGAAGAAACGGAGGAGATAGATGCGGGATGGAATGAAGGCCCCTCTGGTGCTCGATACCGACAACCTACGACAACTCGAGTTAGAAGTTTCTTTGTCGCGTTAGCATGGCGGCATTCGGCAGTGCACACGCCGTCGTGTCTAAGCAAGATGGCCGTCTCTGGTGTCGAAAGGAGGGGACGCGGGAGGAACCGGGGAAAGGGGGACGAATTCAGGCTGTTGGAGGCCGCCCGGTTCCAACTCGCATTAGAGAACACTCGAAGATTATTACTTGCGCGAAGCCGGCCGCGTGATCCTCTGGCATCCGCGTAATAAATCCACCATGCTACCCACACTCATCGTTTCTAACGCTTTTATCGCTTTCCTAAGCTCGCGCCATCCGAAAACGAGTCTCGACAACCGCGACTCGTCGAGGAAAATGTCCCGTATCTCTTAGCCCGCCACGATTTTCTTCGAAGCAGCTCGATTAATTTCGAATAAATCTTCGGCATCGCGCGGAACGATCGAACGGCGACTTTGGATTCGCTCGGGGAAAGCCATCGATCTTTGCCTGTTTCGAAGGCTACCCAGTTCGAAGTAAGAGGAACGCGCCGCTTCCGCGATTCCGTTCTACGATTCAAACTTTACACCTGACTCGGCCGGTCGGTAAATGAAAACATCATCAAGGTCCTCTTAATTGCACCGCTCGAATTCCGTTGCACGTTGGACAAGGGTTGAGCTGGATGCGATAACGTTCTCGTATCGGATCCGCAAGGTTTTCAACGCGCGGTAAAATTTCGCGGCAAAACAAATTACGTAACGTGTCCGCGGACTTGGAGTGTAAAATGCGTCGTAAAATTGACTTCCTAAAATTACCTGTTACACAACGCGGACGTAAGGCGATCGATCGGCAAGGCGGGGAACGATTGATTCACTGTTTACGTGGCATCACGGAGAATTCATAGCCAGGGGCGGAATTTTTTCGCGATCGAGGTTTTTCAAATGATCCAGGAATCGATGGGACGTCGTCGCGGACGTTTAAATCGCTCGGTCGAATCGAAGACTAGGTCGAGAGCGAGGAGTCACGGTGTCACGAAGCGCCTCGAGAAATTGGACGCGCGGCCTGTGAAGGGCATTTCGTAACGCGATTACCGAGAAGATTGGCACCGGTACAGAAGATCGGAGGACGATGGAAAATCTCAACAGGTTCCAAAGGTTATTTTCTGCTGCCTTACCAGCCACCGATAGATACCTACTTTCGCGTCATTGGAAAAAAGGGAGAAAAAAAGGGTGGCGTAACGAGTTACGCGACCACTTTGACCGTTCAACGACGACGAGAGGCGTTCGCGGTTTCGAGCGTCGTCGTTACTATTTTTCAATAAAACAGTCGACGACACTCCCTTTTCGCGCTCGGGTAAATAAACAAATAAACGATCGAGTCAGGTGGCCTAAATTGATTTGAATCGGGCACGGTTTCAACCAGAGATGCCCTTAGCCTCGAACGCGCGCCTATTCTTTACCCTTTTCTTTTTCCTTTTTAATTACGCAACGGTGCATCGGAAATCGAGTCGGAGCGCATTAGCGTAATTATTTTTACCGGTGCGCTGTGAAACGCGCGTTGAACCGAGGCGGCCTAAGAATATCGCGAGAGGGGTCTTGCTCCCCGAGAACCTGAGACATCCGCGTTAACAGGTTCGCTAAGGAAATCGAATTCGTCGTGGAATCTTCTGGTTTAACGAGGCTTAGATGAGAACGAAGAGGCCGTTAACGCTCGTTCGTGGATTGAACGGTGTTGCGTTCGTGCGAGCGCATGTTCGAGTAAGCAGTGGTTGTGCCACTGACTGGCCAGTTCGTTTCTAGGACAGCTAGTTTTTCACGCGATTTTCGCGCGATACAACGCGCTCCGTGCCTAACCTATACCGAGGCCTGGCCTGGCCTAACCTTCTTTCTTGCCAGCGATGAAATTGCGATCGGTGCTCGCGATAATGCGTCGCGGCAACCTACCAGCCAGTTTAACCAGGCCTCTTACGGCCACCACGACGAACGCGACGATTTTTCCCGTTCGCACGGCCGCGCCGTGCCGTACGCCCTCCCCTTCGAATCCTATCGGCGTTTACGTAATTCAAGGCTTTTCCATCTAATGACGAACCGAGGAAAAATGTACACCGATACATCCGCTTCGATCTCTTTCCTCCAAACGAGTATCCTCCCGTCTACGCCAGCTAAATATTATTTGAGGTCTCGTGAAATTTTATAGCGAAGCGATTAAAAAACGCGTAGAAAATGATCGAGTGAACTATAGCTGCGGAGGTTTCTCGATAGAGAGGCAGGGCCGAAAGAAGAGAGGACGAACCGGCGATGCGTTGCATTTCGTTGCGTTTCGTTTCGTTCGAGTGCGTACCGTGGCTACCGGTCCTCGTTCGACCGAACGGTCGTACGGTCGTTCGGTCGTTCAGATTGCAGAAGCTTGTATGGAAGTGGGCAGAAGCGTGTGCGGAGAACACAGAGCGGTCCCTGTAGACGAGAGGGAGTGCGAACGCGTGCTCTCGCTCGTCGATACTCACGATCGCAAAGTGGTGTAAGTGCGTGTGGACGGGCACCAGGAGCACGGGTATGTGGCACAAGGCCGACATTAGCATCTCTACCGGTATACCCCCTACCATTTCGCGTCGTCGTCACGGCACAACTCTATCCGCAGAGAAACCTGTATTCCGGTTATCTTGCTTTTGCGGCAACGGAGAGACAGCCATCGCCATCGTGAGAAGGCAAAGGACTTCCTACCACCAGGAACACGGGAACGCATCACGGAAACCGCTTCGAACGGATACGGAATTTTTCGACCAACCCTTTTCCCACCCCGCGATAACGTTCCTATCTTTCCGTTTATCCGTTCACCGTTTCGCCTCGTCGTCGTCGAGAAAGACGACGAGATTTTCGCCGGTTTCACGTCGACGACGATCCTCGTGGATATCTTTGAAACGGTCTACGACGCGACGCAGGTATGCCGGATTATTGCACCGATAGATTCCTCGGGAGAGACAGGCGCG